GTTATTATTAAATAAAAGAATATATTAAAAATATTGTTGAAATTTTGTCTCTTTGCATATTATATTAAGAAACATTTGTGTGTAAATATATACAAACTAAATTGAAAAATATTCATTTGATAAAATGAAAAAATGTATTAATTTATTACACTATAAGACAAATGAATGTTTTTAATTTAATTTAATTGACAAAGTGAACAATAATAATGCATGTATTGGATTGTAACATATATTCGTCCCGTTAGGGAAGACGAATTTTTTCGTTTATTGTGTTTTACCAAATGAAAAAAAGCAGAACTGATTTTTATCACGCGTTGGTTTTTCATAAACTAACTATAGTATTAATTTTTCAATAAAATTAATTTCATTAGACACTATTTATATTGTGTTAGTTCCTAACGATTAATTTTAATTATATATCGGTGCTGAGATCCACGCCCATCTGTTTTGGCGTTAGATTCGATGTAACATCATGCTAAGGAATCATTTTGAACGATTCACGTTCAGAAACCCTCTCTAACCTTGTCTTACATTACTTTCTTTTTCATGGATATAGCAACGTCACTACGTGACGTTTAGGAGGAGAGGTAAAAAGTTTCGACGCCTGTTAGACGCAACCCCCGCGGAGAGAAAAACGATCTGGACAGGTGCAAAGACTCCTGCTCAAAATCGCACCTATCACCTTATCAATTTAACAGGTGAAATCGATTAAAATGTTTTGAATACTAAAGATAATTCGTATGATTTAACGGTTAGAAAATACAGATTTTTCGTTTTTAAAAGCAAACAATAGGATAGTTTTGGACTAGCATGAAAACATTTGAAACTCGATCGATCTATGATCGTCATAGAAGATTAGACCTTTTCCACGGAGAAATATCTTTAGGCTCAAAGAAAAATGTTAGAAAAACGATTTATGGCCTTTCAAAAGACGGATTCCACCTGCGGTCAAACGATATATAATATTTCACAGGCGCCAGAAATTAAGTAACTTGAACTAGACGACTTTAAGAAATTCTAACCACAATATTGTTAAAGGAATCGTCAAATATGTTAAATAAAATTAGACTCAGAGTTTAGAAAAATAAAAAACAAGTATAAGAAGAATTAGAACAAAATCGTTCTTTGTAGTAGGAATATTTTCAAGATAGATACAAAAGAGATAAAATGCTTTATCGTTTCTGAAGGATCGCTCAAATTGCTTGAGGAAAGTTATTTGCTGTTATTTCTTCTCGAAAACACGTAGGTTCGGTCGAATGGTTCTGGTAAACGGCTGGTGGTATAGCACGTTTTCACAGCGACGTTCTGGCGACAGAAAGAAAGGATGAGAAAGAAAATAAGAGCGAGAGAAAGAAAGTCCACGAGATCCAGGTAGATGCTAATGGGGACCGATTGTTTTTTCTCTTCTGTTTTCCTCCCTTGGCATTGTTCTTACATGGGTCCGCCTCCGCTCATCAGTTAACATTGTCCGCGCATTAGATCGGCCTTGTTCCAAATTCGAGCAACCCGCGAACGAGTAAGCAAGCAACCAAGCAAACAAACAAACAAACAAACAAACAAACAAGCAAGCAAGCTTTTATCCTAAAAGAATGCACGATTCTTTCCTTCTGTTGTAGAAAGAAAGGAAGACAAAGGTGGCAAACAGCGAAATACCTTTGTTTCATACACGAAACTTTCGTTCACATCATGTTCGATCTCTACTTTCTTTTTTTATTTGTTAATACATTTGTAGACAAGGACCTAAAATACCGATAAAATACCAATATTTTTCGGTTGTCATTCATATTATTATAAAAATCGAAATACGAAAGGCCGATATTTTTTTTTAATTTGTTCTATTTTATCACATTATTTAGACGCTTTATTTGATCGGAAACATTTATTTCTGTTAAGTGAGTAAACTTTCTTATTTAATATAGCTAAATCTGAAGATACGCGTATCTGCTCAAGAAAATTTTCAGACAAATTTTCTCGAGAAACGTGTCTTCAAACGAAAAAATGTTACTTTTTTTTTACATATAAAATCATACATCGGTTTGTTGTACTACTCGTCCCGATACACCCTGTTTGAAAAATTAAAACTTCTCAAATAAAAAAATAGAAAACTTAGTGACGATTCGCAAGATCGATTATCTTGAATATTGTTATCTCGAATTAACTTTCTCTCTTTCTCTTTCTTCAAGAAATGAGAATGCCAAAGAAGACAAAGTGAAAGGAGAGAAAGAATACGAGAAGAAAAAAAAAAAAAACAGGAAAAAAAGAGAATACGAATACGAATACGAAGAAAAGTCGAGTGAGAGAGGCAAAGGTGGAAGAAAGAGAAGAGAGAAGGTAGAGAGGGTGGTTGGTTTTTTAAGACCTTTCGAAGAGGAGCACGTTTGGAAGGAAAGGACGTTGCGTTATATACCTTGGCGAATAGACAGGAGGAGGTGCCGATATCTCGACCGTAATTTATCACCCAGCTAGACCGGCTAGAAAAGACGGTCCCAGAACGATTCTCCTGTGGGCCCCGCGGCTCAAGATCACCGACGGAGAGAATGAGATAGAGATAGACACCGAGAAAGGGAAATGGAGAAAGAGGAAAAACGAAAAAGAAGATCACGAAAGAGGGATTCTTAAGAGAGAGAAAGAGAAAGAGAGAAAGAAAGAGTGAGAGAGAGAGAGAGAATGAGAGAGAGTGAATAAGGCCCTGGGGCCAGCCCTCATTACCACGCCTCTAGACTTCCTAGTCATTATATGGTGGTTCCAATACCAAGATCGCGTTTCATCACGAATACCATCGCGGACATTCCACCAACATGACAAAAAAAGGGGGAGAGGGTTAAATGATGTGTATCATCCTTCCGAAATACGAATGAGATTAAGCTTCATAAAATGTTTTCCTAAAAATCGAAGTGCGTGTGTATAATCGAAACAAAAACTCATTCTAAAAACCTCTAATGAAATTATTATCTATCTGTTTTATTATAGAGAGAGAAAAAATGCGGAAAATTGGGTCGATTCCGAAAAAGGAAGTTCTCAAAAAAGAAAATTTCTGTAAATGAGAAAGAGAAGTATGCTCCGCCCAGAGGCTGGTTGTAAATAATTAAAGAGAACCAGTAAAAACAAATATATCGTTTCGCGCAGTGTGATAGATGATGTTGCTTATTCAGCGTCCTGGACGCAAGAGGAAAGAGAAGATAAGAGAAAGGGTGCAGGTGGAGATGGAGGAAGAGGAGAAGGAGGAGAACTTCAGAGGTTGGTAGGCTTTTAGGGCCTTACGTGGAGGTACGAGAGGGTTCAAGGGCGTACTGAAGACGCGGAGAATTGGAGGCAAGGAAGGCGAGGCAATTAGGAGGCACAGCAGGGTGCCAAAATCTTTACCCTCCTCGTTCAACCTCCTCCTACGCTAAAAATCTCCTTCACCTCTTTCTCTTTCTCTCTCTCTTTGACTTCCCGTTGCTTTCCTCTTCGTCTTTTCGGTCATATCGAAAAGGATGGACCGTTCTACTCTTTTCAAAACAATCAACATCATTGATGCCCTCCCTTTTAGTGTCCGTATCATTACTATTAATTCTAAATATCGTTGGGGACAGTTCTCAGTTTCACGTTAATTTCATTGTTTATCTACTATAGAATGAAAAATATTAATCGAAATATCTAAATATCTTCATTATTTATAATTTTATGATAAAAATTTGTATATAATATGCAAATTTACACAATCAAATAACTATATACATACCGTATATCTGTTGTTTTATTTTACTTGAAAACATGTAAAAATATGCTACATGTATAAACTGAACTAACTGTAAATAAATACCGGCTTTTACAACTTTAATCAAGCAGTAATTGTCACCACAAAACGATGTACGAGTAAATGAAAGACCGAAATTCGATATGTGCAGTTTAAAAAAAAAGACGCTCGAAAAAAATGATTGTCACTTTTGTCATTGTGAGCCGTGTACGTCTACGATACAATAAAAGCGGTATAGCTTTTATTAAAATGTCGATAAATGACTTTACATCAAATTATTTAAAAATTAATTACGTATGTTTATTTATAGTCAATAACGCGCTTGTTTAAATAAAAATTATTGATGACGCTTACGATTTTTAAAAAATATGTTAAGTGATTTCTTAGGTTATACCATCGACTTTAACATCAGCGCCATCTTTTAGCAACGACCACTAAAGATTAATAAAAAATCTATTGTAGATAAAAACCGCGAAAAAGCATCATCGGTCGATAAAAATTCGAATGTCGATAATAAAAATAATAATTATTATTAACGCTATTTTTCGAAAAGATCACAATTGCAATTAATTTATAATTAAACTTCTAGCTGTTGCAATTTATACAAACTTTCCTTTTTATGATATAAATAATACATATACAGAATGTATCCGAACAGTTTGTACAACCAGGTTTCTGCAGATAAAAATATAACTAAATCCGAAGATATTTCAGGGTACGCGTACTCCACAAATTTTTTAAACATGATATTTCAAAAATATTGATTTTATCCGGATATATCCTGCATATAATATGATATATAATTTATATAACAAAAAAATATTAAATTTTATATTACTTCAATAAAAGAAAAATAATATTTTACTTTAGACTTTTGTTTCAATCATCTTAACTCCTTGACGTACAATGATTTTTGGGAAACGTAGTTGATTTTTTATGCCATTGTAGAATTTGAAGTCTTCAAGATGTCAAGAACTATCTCTGGCGAACGTTGTGCATTATATTATTAGATTATTTATTATTTCATTTATTTAATTATTGTCCATTAACATTATATATCAACCTTGACTAAATATTATATAACAATGCAAATTTAAAAATAAGATGTTCTATTTCTAAGCTTGTGCATATAACTGTTTAAGTAAACCAAATTAAATGCTTATATCTTTAGATATTTTTGGAAAAATTCAATAAGAAGCATTATTCGATATTAATTCTTATCAATTTTTTAATCCCTAATGGAAAATTTTTTCCACCAGATGGTGCTTCTGAGAAACATAGCTTAAATGTCAAGTCATCACTAATATTTAACTGATAAACAGTATTTAAAAAAACATATTATTAACTTATCTTTATTTATGACTTTCTTTGTGCATACTAGTAGAATATATTACTTTTTCGTTAAATAATCATTTTCGAATGTTCGGAACATACAGTATTCAATAAAAAGTGTCCCATCTGTTTGTACCTTGAAACTTAGTCTCTTTGTTTACAGATTCGCTATGGCTGACAATAAGCAACAAACTAAATCTCTTCCTCTAGCATTAGAAAAATTATTTGGGTAATTAAAGTGTATTTAAATGAATTTAAAATGCATAATTTTGTTAATATAAAAATCTATATATTATACATATTTTAACGTTGTTACAGTTATATAGATGCTCATAAAGCAGTATACATTAATAATCTACGAGAAGCAGTTGCTATAAAATCGGTTTCAGCATGGCCAGATCATAGAAATGAAATAATTAAAATGGTCAAATGGACGGAAGTTAAATTAAAAGAACTTGGTGCTACGACAGAATTAGCAAATGTAGGAATACAAAAATTGCCAGATGATTCTGAAATTCCACTTCCACCAGTACTCTTAGGAACTCTTGGTTCTGATCCTAAGAAAAAAACAGTTCTTTTATATGGGCATTTAGATGTCCAGCCTGCGCTGAAAGAAGATGGATGGGATACCGAACCTTTTGTTCTTACAGAAAAAAATGATAAACTTTATGGACGTGGCAGTACAGATGATAAGGGACCAGTTTTGTGTTGGATCCATGCACTTCAAGCATACAAAGCTATTGGTGTTGATTTTCCAGTAAACTTAAAGGTATTTTATAAAGAGTGTAATTGTTTCGAACATTAACTAATTTAGAATTATAGTTTGTATTTGAAGGTATGGAAGAAAGTGGCAGTGAAGGACTAGACGAATTACTTTGGAAACGTAAAGATGATTTCCTAAAAGGAACAGATTATGTCTGCATATCTGATAATTATTGGTTGGGAACTACAAAACCTTGTATTACATATGGATTAAGGGGAATTTGCTATTTTCAAATTGAGGTAACATGTGCAAGCAAGGATTTGCATAGCGGAACGTTTGGTGGTATTGTACATGAAGCAATGGCTGATCTTATTTACTTGATGAATACCTTGGTAGACGTCAATGGAAAAATATTGATAGATGAAATTTATGATAATGTTGCTCCCATTACTGATCTTGAATTAAAAAGTTATGAAACTATTGAATTTGATGTGAATGAACTTCGTGAATCTTCCGGAGCAACTAAATTACCTCATAACGAGGACAAGGTATAAGAGCGGAACAATAACTCTGTCCATCTTGAATATCACTGTTATTTATAATAATATGAAAAATTTGTTTGTACAGAACTTGCATAGCATAGAGGAGAGTTATATTGTAATGCTTATTTCTTTTGCATTAGCAATAGTGCAATTTTTCCTTTGAAGTTTTTTAATAGGATTGTAAACATAGGAGATAGTCAAGATGGACAGAGTTATTACCACATCCCGTATTTTTAAAAAACAATATTTAACCTTATGAAATATATTTAGACGTTCATTATCAAATTTGTTAATTTTTTTGCCTAAGATTCAACTTTTGATGCACCGCTGGAGACAGCCAAGTCTTTCCCTTCATGGTATTGAAGGAGCTTTTAGTGAACCTGGTGCAAAAACTGTTATTCCCAGAAAAGTTATTGGAAAATTTTCAATTAGATTAGTACCCAACATGACGCCAGATCAAACTGTAGAACAAGTTACAAAATATTTGAAAGCTAAGTGGGAAGCTAGAAAAAGTCCAAATATATTTAACGTGATTATGAATCATGGAGGCAAACCGTGGTCAGAAAATCCTGATCATCCAAATTATGTAGCTGGACGAAAGGCTACTAAACACGTCTATGATGTTGAACCTGATCTTTCTCGTGAAGGTGGATCTATTCCAGTAACTTTAACATTCCAAGAAATCACAGGTAAAAATGTTTTACTCTTACCTGTTGGAGCAGGTGATGATGGTGCGCATTCTCAAAATGAGAAGTTAAACATATATAATTACATTCAAGGAGTAAGTATATTTCTTCTTTAATTATTAAAATAAAAGAACTCATTTAGCTTAGCTAATATTTAATAAACTTCATAATTTCTTTGCAGACAAAGTTATTGGGTGCTTATCTTTATGAAGTTGCTAACATTTAACGTGTGACAAAACTAAGTATTATTATATGATATTAAGTATTATTATATAATATTAAGTATTATTATATAATATTAAGTTGAAATTATATCAGTATTTCTTTACAAGATTTTAATTGTATAAATAAAAGTGATGGAAAGAGGCTTTTTATCTAATTCATATATAAATTTACATAAAATTTGATGAAATAAATACATATGTAAATTATTTAAAAGAAATCTGCATTATAACTTTTTTATTCCTGTTCAACTTTTAGTACCCATCCTGGTTCACCTTTGTGAGCTTCATATGGTAACTGCACAACGAATTTAGTTGCAGATTGCTTCCACTATATAATAAATAACAACGATTAAAAATATGAAACATTACAGATGGCATCAAATAAACTTACATCAAGATGTTTTATAAAGCCAAGCAATGATACATGGGTATTATTTGGGACTTGTAAGGAACCCAGAGATAATATACTTTCTTTTGGCCATTCTAAAATTAGTATATAAAGTCTTTTTTCATCTTTACTTTGTGTATACCATACATTACTTGTTAATGTATCATTCTGTATTTTCCATGGTTTAGTATTATAAATAGCTTCACCGTTTATTTTTAGCCAAGAACCTATTGTAAACGCAATCGTGATATTAATATTACCTAATACTTTAATTTCATAAGAATATAGAAATATAAAAATGCTGGAACCTATTCCACGTAATCTTTCTTCAAATATTGGAGAAATAATACCATCCTTAGTTGGACCAACATTCATCAATAAATTTCCACCACAACTTACTGTAGTTACCAATTCTTTTACTAATTCATTAAGTGTAAAATAATCTGCTAAAGCAGCATTTCTACGAAAGCCCCAAGACTTTTTATCGATAGTCATACAATTCTCCCATTTATGTGGAAGAAGTACTCCTAAATATATTGAAATAATAATAAAAAATCATGTTGTTACCGTAGAAATAAAAACTTAAATGCAAATGTTTTATAAATCCATACCAGGATTAAAACGATCGGTACACGTGTAAAAATCACCATGATGACATGGAATATTTTTACCCCATCTATCATTTACAACAACTGTTTCTTTTACAGGACTTTCATTATATAACCAGGATAAAAATTCTTTTGATTTCCAATAAGAATCGGTAGCTTCCCAATCACCATCTGACCAAATAATTTCTGGTTTGAACATTTCTATAAGCTCATGCATTTCGGGAATTATTTTCTGCGTAACGAAAAGATCTGTTGTAAAATTATTTTGTTTGTCAGCAAGATACATAGGATTATACCACTCGTATAAAGAATGATATAATCCAAATTTGATATCGGTGGATGATCTTAACGCTGCTGCCAATTCACCTATACATTACAAATCAAAATGAAGAAGAATTTGTCTAATATATAAATGAGATTATCAAATATACCTATGAGATTTTTCTGTGGTCCAATATCTATGGAATTCCAACTGAAGGAATATTTTGATGGCCACAGCGTATATCCTTCATGATGTTTACTAGTCAATACCACATATTTTGCACCTGAAGCTTCAAACATTTCGCTCCATTGAGATGCATTAAAAAATTCTGCAGTAAAATCATGCGCAAAGTCTTGATAAGTGTAATTAGGTGGATATCGTTGCTTCATGAAATCATGATATTTAGTACCAGTTTCTTCTATAATATGAGGACACATTTGAATGTAATACAAATTTATCATTTTATTTGATAAACATACAAATGTATACCTTTCCAATTATTCCAAAACCATTCTGAACCGAAGCTAGGGACACTAAACACTCCCCAATGAATAAATATTCCAAATTTGGCATTATCGTACCAATCAGGAAGAGGTCGAGCATCTAAACTATTCCAAGTAGGATCATATTTAAGTTGGCCTATATTGCGAGATGATAATTCATATTCTTCTGTATTACTTTTTTCTATTACAAAATAATGATCTCTTAAAGATCCACATTGTACAACAATATTCCACAAAAATGTAATATAACAAAAAAATATTAGAACTTGCATGATGTATATATTTTCACAATAAACGATAATATTTATACTGATTTCTCACATATGTATCAATTTTATCATAAATGCTATCTGAAAGCATAAATCATTTACGGTTATAAAAACACTGAAACTTGAATAAATAAAGATTGATAATCGGTTTAATCAGGTTATGTCGTATAAGATCGTATCAGAGTCACTTGAAAATATGATAACATACTAAAGAGAGAGATTAATTTATAAACAATAAAATTATTCTTTTATTCTTTTATACTTTTTATATAATATAATTTTATTAGACACAAATAACTATATAAACTATTTTTATTTGTACAAAAGACTAAAATTGTCTTGATAAATGATATGTTAAAATATTTTTAATTTGCATATCTGTTAGTTTAGCAGTATATGTATTATATATGTATCTATATACGCTATTTAGTTGGTCACAAAAATATTCGGACATAAATATAGATTTGATATTTATGTTCTGTATTTCTCTACACTCTTACTCTCCCATTACCACCATGAATATTAAATTTGCTCTAATCGATAAAAAATACTATCTATTTTCTTTAGAAATACTAGAAGAAAATGTATTTTCTTTAGAAATGTAAATTGTAATAAACTAAAGTTCTTTTTTTTGTTTATTGCATTAATATACGGTTTTCACCTGATTATCTGCTCGTTGCATACGTAATACTCCTCGCACGTTTTCCGGATGTACAGTGATACCACGTTTTACTTGTAACATTGTGGCTATTTTTGGAACATTTTTTTGTCTGTTGTTCTTTTTTAATGTTTCTAATAACGTCACGCCTATCGCGAACACTTTAAATTCATGTGGACGTCCACTTTGATAAATAAAATTAATTCTGTTTTCATTTTTATATATATATATTTCACTTTTTCCGGTGGAAAATGACTAGCTGCCGCGTTATAACGAAACACCGAATTCAAACACCAGCACTTCTATGTTATAAACATTATGCTTCAAATTTTATACTAATAGCTTTCTGGAAATTGAACTACTATTATATTGATTAATGATATTCAACAGTATCTGAATATTTTTTTAATCTATAAGTTACCGATTTTGCACTATCATGATATTTTTATATTGGTGTTCGAATATTTTCGTAACTGTATGTTAATATGTATAGTATATATTACGTAAAAACAAGCTTCTGATAAAACTTATTTATGAAGCCCGATAAGAGAATTAATATTTATTTTAAGAACATAACATATTTCATTTGTACTACATTCACAGTATAGAATATAATTTAATCAAAGTCACATAAGAATTATAGTGCTCATATAAAATGGAAGTGGATCCACCCAAAGAATTTTTAAAGCCATTAGAAGTCCCCTACAAAATATTAATGGGGCCTGGACCAAGTAATTGTTCACAACGAGTTTTACAATCTCTAGGACATCAAATAATAGGTCATCTTTATCCGGAAATGTTTAAGGTATTCATACAAAATTCGAATGAAAAATAATTCTATAAGATATGCGATAAATTTTCAGTTAATGGATGACATCAAAGCAGGAATTCAATATGCATTTCAAACAAAAAATAAATTGACTTTGGCATTGAGTACAGCAGCACACGGTGGTATGGAAGCATGTTTGGGAAATTTAATTGAGTCAGGAGAAACAGTGTTGATTGCTAAATGTGGAATTTGGGGTAAACGTGCTGGCAATATGGCGAATCGTATTGGTGCACATGTAAGAATATTTTTAAAAGTTCTAACAAAATTATAAAATAAAATAACACGTTAAACGCTAGGCCACACAGAGGCCGAAAATAGTACAAACGTTGTCGAAATATGAAAAAAAAAAATGTAGTTTAATGTTTATTAAAATTAATATTTAGGGGTTTATGAGGTTGCGCTAATAATGAATCTGATATTATTTTTTTGAAGAAAAATGATGAATACAAAATCGAGGATAATTCGGATGTCATTATCAACATTTTTTTCTTAGAATTATCTATTTATTAGCTTAATTAATTTTTAACACAATTGATATCATAGGTTGAATTTCTAAAGACTGAACATGGAGTTGGTTTCGATCTCGATCTTTTAGAATCTTTTTTGAAAAGATTCAAACCTGCTGCAGTTTTTGTAGTACATGCTGAATCTTCAACTGGCATGAAACAACCATTGGAAGGCGTTGGAAATCTCGTTCATCGGTACATTTAATTTATATCATTATTCATTATTTTTATCGGAAAGATTAACAGAACTTTGTTTTTATGTTAGATATAATTCACTCCTTATTGTCGATTGTGTAGCGTCGTTAGGCGGTGAGCCGTTTTTTGCAGACGCTTGGGAGATTGATGCTGTTTATTCATGTAGTCAAAAAGTTCTTGGAGCTCCGCCGGGTATAACACCAATTTCATTCAGCCCTTTAGCAGTGTATGTAATTGATATTTAATGATAAACAAAAAATACATGATTTATTTTAGTAATGTTTCTAATCTCGTTTAAAAATTTTCTTAATTAGAAAAAAGATTTTCGGCAGGCGTACGAAAATTTCAACATATTATTGGGATATGACCATTTTAGGTGATTACTGGAACTGTTTTGGTAATTCAAGGATTTATCATCATACGATGAGTGCTACATTGGTTTATGGATTACGCGAAGCTTTGGCAGAGTTAATAGAGGAAGGCCTTGTTTCTCGTTGGTCTAGACACAAATTAGTAGCTGCTAAATTACGAGAAGAACTTTCGAAACGAGGATTTCGATTTTACGTTAAAGATCCGAAATTTCAATTGTCTACGATTGTGTCTATTGAAATACCACTTGGAATAGATATTCAAATTTTATCAGCCAGAGCTATGGAAAGGTAAGACATTTTTAAAAACAAATTTTATCATTCGAATTATCATTCGAAATTATTCATGTAGATATGGGATTGAAATAAGTGGTGGACTTGGCCCAACTGTTGGCAAAATTATACGAATTGGCTTGATGGGAAATAATTCTACGTACCATCACGTTGATCTTCTACTTGATGCTTTAGACGATTCACTCAAATTTGCCATAAAATCGAAAATATAAGTGTATGTATGTATGTATGTTCGCGTCTATGTTTTATGCAAGTTTAGCCATGACAGGTTGAAAATATTAGGCTGATGAAAAGTTAAGGTCGTGTAATACATTATTGTAAAGACTACAATTGGCACTAGTGATTTTTGCTTATATTATTGTTTTCTTATATTTTTATTGATAATATATATTCTTTTGTATATTATTTTTTAGTGTTATGAAATGTCGAATTTGACATCTTAAATTAATCATGAAAAAAAGCAAATTCGCATAATTGTGCAAAGTACTAAAGACTGCTCAAAATATAAATGATCGATAATAAGGGATACTATTAAAGTGAACCCATAAACAATTTGATAAGTTGCAAAAAAAATTAAATGGTAATCATTCAATATTTAAATTATGTAAGTATTTTAATTTGATACTTTTCAAAATTCTATTGTTATTTTTGTATCAACCAAATAATTCGTAACATTTAAGTTTGGAGTGCAAACAAACTGCACAGAAATTTGTCGTGCAGACGAAAAAAGAACTGGAGTAAATTTATTTTATTAATGAAAATACTGCAATCGGCATACATTTTCTTTCGCTATTAAGCTTCATTGTATTAATTAGCAATGTCAATAGTTAGGTACATTATTTCACTTTCGGTGTAACAAGAAAGATAATATCTTGAATGTAATACATACATAATGACAATTACAATGGGAGTTAGAGATAATGGCAATAAATGTAAATGATAATATTTTTTAATTAATAAATCATACTTAATAGTTTTGGCACAGTATAGTTCTATTCTTTAACGAAATTTAATTCAAATAAATTTACGCGTTGGATTTAAATTAACTATAATAAAAGTTCAAAAAAACATAGAGTCAGAGTAAACTAAGCGGCAAGATGAAGTAATGATTATTAAATAAGATCACTGAGATTTTCTTTTGATTCATAGAAACAATCAATATTTTATAATTGATTCTAATCAAAAGATTGAAATAGTAACGTTGACATCTAATTGATTCGAACAATAAAAACATTGCCATCTAATTTAACTCAAAAATTGTAAAGCTTATCTATAAAAAAAAAAAAAAAAAAAAGAAAGAAAAAAAGATAAAGATCGATAACATGCATACGTAAGTGGAGAGATGATTTTAAATAATAATGACTAATAATAATAATTGTATAATTACAAATGATAGGTTGTTACTTTAAAACCACGTTTTAATCGTGGAATCAATTAGGGATATATTATAAACTATCGAGTTGTATAAATAATATTAATAATAGTAATAATAATGATAATTAATAATAATTATAATTGTAATTGATAATTCATTAGTATATATATATATATATATCGATAGATGCTTCATTTCATTACACATTACATATTTTCGTCTGTTTCTTTTTTTCCGTTTCTTTTTATGTACAAAATTGTCAATAATCAACAGACTGTGATTTACTCATAGTTAAATCTTATGTAATCCTATAGTTAATAGTATCGAACTAATGCATGCACGAAAATAATAATTAAGGCACGAATGGTTAAGAGCGGATCAACGCTTTTCGTAGAAAATATGTGAAAGAAAGAGATACTTTCCGTCGTTATTTAACATGAAACACGAACAAATTTGTGCTTCAAAGTTTGTGCTCGACGGAAAGGAATCGTTGCCTTTTCAAAAAGCAACCAGGCCTGCCTGTTGCCGCGACAACGTACGACCCATTTTACTCATCTTTATGTTTTTCTTATTTTTTTTCTGTTTCTTTGTTTTATACTTTCTTGTCTAACATATACAAATACAAATTTCACAGTTTTATCGCTTACATCGAAAAGACCCAACGATTCAAATACGCTTACAAAATATTATACATACCGACTGATTTACACTAAACATTTTTTTTACACCTCATAACTTTTTCTTTTCGTTAATTTTTTATTTCCTTGTTTTAAAAAAACAAAGACAACACTGATTATTACGTACCAATTCAACCTCTCAAATAATAAATTTATTGTTTGAGGGAAGGAAGACTAAGCTTTTTATGAGGTATAAATACTATGAGACAAATGAAATTGCTAATAACTAATATTTATCAGGTCAATATATTTTTAAAAATTTTTATATTAGTATTTTAAATTAATTGTCAGAATATATAATAAAATATGAATATTTAATTCAATTCAAACTTTACGAACTGACAAAATGCAATTTGATAAAATATTCACATATACTAATTATTTATTTTACAAAATACTTATTAGTAATTAATAATTATACTGACCAAATAAATAAAAGTAATTGCGAAACTAGATTTTCTATGAAGTTCACCGGCGAAGAGAAAGATTAAAAAAAAGAAAGAAAGAAAGAAAGAAGAAGAGAGCTAAAAGAAACAATAATAAATACACAAGTGTTAAATAAAAACGAAATACATGAAAAGAAAAGACTCTAATTGTTGGCATTGCGAAAGGTAAATTGCAAATATGAATGAAAATAATGTTGGAACGATATCCGATATTTACAAGTATAGGTAAAACGTTACGCAAGATAATCTGTAAGGTCTTAAAAATTAAAGTTACCGTAGTAGCTCGTACTAGTTACGACAATACCAATAATAATATATCTAATAGTAATAATAATAATAATAATATCAATATTAATGGTATATAATAATAATAATAATAATAATAATAATAATAAGCTGAAATAATTAGTAAGATTATGAAGCAAGCGATATCGCATAATGATAACTGATGTCGCCATCGGAGGTTCTTCAGTCTTCTTTGGTTGCTGGGTAACTCGATGAGGTTGGTGGGTACAGTAGAGCACTGCGATACCGTTACGACTAAAGTTTCTTTTCCCTCTCATCGTCATCCTATCATCTTCGTTATCATCATCTCTTTCTCCTTTTTTATTTTTAATTTTTATAATTTTTTGTTGCTTTCTTCAAAAGGTTGCTGTACCTTATGGTAGCTCGTAAATAGAGAGCAGTTAGCTTCCGTTTCGTTTATTCCTTGATGAGAGCCAATTGATTAATAAAACGTCTGGCTGCGGGCTTCTGGGTGCCATGGGGTCCGACGTATGAACGATTAAGAGAACGAAGACTAAGAGAGAGAGGAGAAAGAGAGAGAAAATAGAGAGAGAGAGAGAGAGAGAGAGACTTCTCAATTTTTGTGTTCATTGTGTTCATGATATTTTTCTCTCCATTCATTCCCATCGTATTGGATACCCAGTGAGAATCAATACTCTCGAACTACCCTTTTCCCTTTCCTCGTTCTCTACTTTTCCGAATTCCATTGGATTGGTTTTCAGTGGACCAAGGATTAGGATATATACGTTAATGTAAAAAGTACACATAGAACAGTACTTCGCCCAAAGTAGAGAATAAAAGTTCTTCCTCGTACAAAAGAGTAACAATAACTAAGTTAGTCACTCGGTTTAGGACGAGTAAGGGTTCTTCTCCGTAAAGAAAGAATATCCGGTACTTAGCTCAATTCTCTTGGCGACACCGAATGTCTCGGGGGATGATGATGGTTACGATGATGACGTCTTGCACGACGACATTGTACTGTACAACAATCGTCGCCGTCTAACAAGTAATCGCCTCGTTTCATTTGATGGGCGATCGAGTTGCAGAGAGATCTCGGACAACGTTTCCTTTCGCACCTGACTTCGCCATTCTGAAATAATATTAAATTAATCCTTGGTTATAAGGCTTTTCTTAACAAATTATTTCTATTTAAGTATCTAAATTTTATTACAATTAATGTGGTAACCCGAATATCCGAGTATCAGTATTTTATCTTGAGATATAGAAAATAATTTGAGTTAGACGCAACACATGTATCCGGATACCCGAATAAGATAATCAGGCAAATAAAAAATACAAATCTGAATTTACAGTCATATTTATATTGCATGCATTATCATGGATCATAACGTTCACTTTATTATTGCTCATGATAATTAAATATAAAATTATTAAATAAATATTTAAATTATGTTTACTTATATATTCAATCATTTGTAATTGCTCAAAATTCTCATTTTTCATTCAAACAAATGTGCAATTATAGTTACCTGGAGAACACGATTAGAGTATTTGAGTAAAACATATCTGGGTATTTTTCATTTACTTTCGTATCTTATCGAATATTCGGATATCCAACGAGACGGGTAGTAACAGATCTAATTTAAATGTGAATATTTTGATCTAAAGTTTAATAAAGTAACTAGATACTAAATGGAATAGGAAATATGTTTTCATGTTCTGAAAGCCAGATGATTTCTTTCGAAATATGTATATACGAGGCCGCTATACGGTCGCACGAGCATACACACCGAGGCCGTGTTCCATTTTCATCGTAATGGATGGACCCTTTTAATGGTCGGTTCGGGCGAACGAGTCCGGTTAAAGGTTTTCTCCTTAAAGGTTTTCTCGTCGTGCCCGTGTCTGGATATTGCAATGAGGTTACTCTTCTAACGAGTGTGAGCGAGCAACAGACGACGATGGTGCGAGAACAAGGAGCAAAAGTAAAGCGAGTCGTGGTTGTTGCCGAGGAGAATCTTGCTTGGCAACAACGAGTATTCGTACAATAAGGAAAATTCTTCAATTGCAATCTCCCGATAAATAAAATTAACCTAACACGTGATAAACTAGGAACGGGGAAGGAGGAAATAATAGCTTTCATATTCACAACTTGATGAAACTGACCTTCTTTCAATCTTTCTTTCTTTCTCTTTTTCTTACCTTGCATCGACACTTGACGCATTTCATTTCACCATGGGAGTGAACTCTTGGATGCCATTCCATACCATTCTCATAGGGTCCACCAAGAGGATATTTGCAACCACCTGTAGCTAAAATTTCTTCGGGTGAACGAAGTATCGATAGTGCGGCTTGATCTCGTGGTAAACTCATCCCATCCAAATTACCAGTCAACGCTGTTGCCGAACTTGGTGTTGTGCTAGGACATTGTTTACAGCAAGCCTTCTTGTCTGGTCTAAACGCGATCTTCTCGTCGCAATCCAATGGCGGACACTGCACTCTCGGACATTTCACCTCCAACGTGACAGGCTATAAGATAAATGAACGAGAAACGAATAAGACTCGAGGGTTTCTTCGCTCGAGTAATTAGAAGACAAACGTCGAATAAGAAGAGATAGTAACTTGTTTACTCTGAGAAGATTTTATCTGCCAGTGTCATATATATAAATATATATTCGCGATAGACCGAAGAAATTATTCTAAAGTAAGGTTTATCAACATTTTTTTTTTTTTATCATTTTTCTTAATAATACTGTGTAAAAGTAATTGCCTACGTCAATAAAGTCATCGATCAATATCAAATGTGATTAGTCATATAATTTATAATATATCACATTATTCTTACGTAATTTATATTAAATTCATAGATATTATCTCTCGGGATTATATTTTGCGCATCACGTGTACTTTTTATTCTAACTTAGAATATATGGTATATGGTATGTATATATGGAATGACGTTGACGTTGCAAAACGCTTTCGAACAAGTGAAAGTAAAACTTTAAACGAGTGCGCATTGCAAGTTTGACGTAAGTTATATCTTGGAACGCAATAAGAATTTTCTTGGAATGAGGAATCTCAAATATAATACTTACGTCGCAAGTACAAACAGCACAAGTGTCAAATCCAACTGGTGGTAGATAAGGATGCCAGGAAGCTCCAGTAGGATGATATTGACCCGCGAGAATACAACCTCTTCCTACGTAAGTGACGTTGTTCTTAGCCGTTGTATTCGTCGCAGTAGCTGTGAAAGGAATTAATGTGAAAAGACATTTTCAAATAGTTTCACGTTCGAATGCGCGATTAGCTACTTGGAAACCCGCAGAACGAGGATACTTGTAGTGTTTACGTTGCCATGATATCGTATTCGATCTCTTGGTCAACTGTTGCTAACCAAAAGTGGGAGAAGAAACCGCGAAATCGAGAAGACGAATCTTTCACGCGAGTAACTTTATCTTTTTTATTGAATCTTGATAGACGAGAGGGGTTAAGAGAGAACGAGAGAGAGAGAGAGAGAGAAATGGTTTACCCGAGCAGATAGGACAGCAATGTC